AAGATACAACTCTGCTAGTTGTACACCCTTAGGCTAATTACTGTCACCTAGTAAGTGCCATGTAATCATTTCCTGTGTTTGCTGCTTGATCACTAGCTTCTTCTTATTGGCACCTCCTTATTGTTCAGCTAGAAGTCTTTCTCTGATACTCCCAGATGCCCAAACATCCCTTGTCCTTTTTGATGAGAAGTCCAGCCCGTTTCACTCCTTCCAGAATGACGTATGCCATTCTCCTCATAAACCAGCAGTGACTTCAGCGTCTGTGGTTGGTTGACGCACGTTTGTCCCTGTGCTGACCTTAGAGTGATAGAGTCTGACAGCCTGGCTACTATTCACAAATATCTGGACACTTGGCAAGGCAAGGTTCCAGCCTAAGTGTCAGATTGTATTGGTATCAAGCATGCATGCGTTTACTTCCAAGTTGGATACTTCAAGTAAAGAAAAAAGAAATTCCAAAATTCCAAGGTGTTTCAGATGACAAAAGTGCCTGGAAGAGAGTTGCCAATGGTCTCACTCACGTACATTTAAATTATATCGCACTACCAGGTAGTCTTGAAGGTACAATTTGAAGATTCATCAGGAGCCTTGGAGCTTTAAATTACTCCAAGCCTCTGGGGGTATGCATGGCAAGAAGAATAAATAGTGCTATAGAAAAAGGTCTCTAACACTAGAACTGGATGAGGTCTGCTCTTGGCTTTGCTCTTTACCAGAGTGGGACATAGAGGAAGTCTCTTAATTTTCCTAAACTCCATTTTTATTTTCAATCTGTAGAATGGAGCTGTAAAGTAATATTTATGTTTACCTCTTAGGATAGTTGTGATAAATGAATGAAATAATGAATATAATATTTAGGATAATCCCGGAACAAAGGTGTTCATTGAATTTTGTGTAATGTATTGTAGGGATTATGGGGATTGTTTTATTCTACTTTACGATTCTACTGCTATATCTGAAGGATGCATTAAGGAATACTGGATCAAATGGTTTTAATTGATCTTCTGGACTGGCCTATACTGTGGTGCTAACTCCTTCTACCAGGAGGTAGTGACTCAAACTCTAGGTGTCACTTGCAGAGAGTACTTATAAGTCGTCTGCTGAAGTGCATGCCATGCTCTATCTTTAGGCTCCCTGCTGCCTGGCTTTAAGCTGAGGAGTCCCTTGGGCCACACAAAAACCTTGGAGATAGGAAGAAGCAACTCCAGTTAGGGAAAGACAGGCTGCATTTCACAACATTTATTCAATGCCCTTTAAGTTGACAAATTTCTCACCCAGGGAGCTCTCTGTGAGTCTGGTTGGGCCACATAATAGGGGCAGTGTGGGATGACCATGTAGGAGAAGATGAAAATAAACAGGAGGATGTGTGTCTTAGAGGAAGAAATATATTCTTGACAGATTAGGTAGGAGGTATGAGGTACACAGAAAGCCACAAATTACCAGTGATGGAACTGTGAGCAATTAACTACCACATAAGGTAATGGCACTCTGATAAAGACATTTCAAATGAAGAAGCATGTTTTGCTTCACATAGAATATTCTACTATTAGACTTCCTTTCTTTTTTTGCTCTCCCTGTGAAACGGAGCAAGTTTCCATCAGATACATCTCATGAGAAGGAGGCTTTGATTGGCATGGCTGTATCCAGGCGGTTCCTCCTTCAATGGTAACAGAGGCTGGAAATACTTCAAGAGATCGTTTGCTTTACTCTAACAGAAAGGGTGGCTGCAATATCAGAAAAGATAAATATTTTACTTTTACCTCCTTTTGAATTATTACCAACCAACCCTGACAATTTGATGAACTGTATTATAATTAACACATTCATGGATTAAAGTTTTATTTTATTATGTATCTTTCATAGTCTCACCACGTCAAATGCAATTCCCACCCTTTCTTTGCCATACTTGATGAGAATTAATCATCAGTTCTGGATGACTATGGGGGAGTTAGAGGCAGATTTGGTGAGGAAATGGACCCAGTTTGATAAAATGCACTAGGAAACATGGACAACCTAAGGAGCGGCTCAGAGAAACCTCTTACAGACATTACTGTCTTTTTAGTTTCACAGCATATTTAATTCTCTTTAATAATATTCTTTAATTAAAAACTAAATAGCTTTTTTGGGGCAGCAGGGGAGAAGAAGGCAGGAGAGGGACTGTCACAGTGATCTAAACAGTGGTAAGAGATGACAGAACTGTCACACAGGATAGAGTTTTATCATATAATATGAACAAGGTGAGGGCAGAACAACTGACCAAGAATATTTTAACCCTCATGGCTTGGCACAAAGTAGGAACTTAGTGAATGTTTTGGATGACTTTATAATGCAAGCAATTGCTGGTTTGGCTTCTTACAAGTGCAATCTTGCACCCAAAGTTACTTACAGGTTAAGAATGCAGGACAACCAGAATGCAGTGGAAATTTTAAAATCCTGACCTTTAAACAACAACAACAACAAAAAAATACTTGATAGTTTCCCAGACAGAATCTCTCCCAGATGCTTGCGGGGCAATGCTCCTCTCCCAAATGGGCCTGGCCTGCTTTCTGCTCCTCTTTGCAAAGCACTGGGAAGAGATGAGGAAGCCAAAGGGTTGAGAAGTCAGTGAGAGGAAGGTTACACTCAACCTTCCAAATGACACTTGTTCATCCATCATCCTAAGGAGTAGCCCTGAAGGCAGGCAAACACAGGGCTGAGAAACACTGCCTGTTCCTTAAGGGACTAGGACTCAGGACAAGCGTGGCAGCAGGAGGCAAGGGGGTGTCAGAGCTCAGAGTGAGAGGGAAGAAATCTCTTCCTCAAAGGTACTCTGTACTCCAGTGACCCTGCCATTAAGGTGAGTAAAATTTCAGTGTTAAAATCACTTATGCGTTCTACAGTAGTAAAATTAAGAGGATCCAGAAATCTAGATATACTAGCAGAAGGAAATGATTTGGGCAGATTATGATGAGGAACAGCCAAGGGGTGTGGCTATAATATACAGGAAAGCCTGTGAATAGAGCCTGTGAGATCTTATGGTCAAGTACTGACATCATCTTAGGTTTCACTTAGATTATTTAGATTTTTAAAAGATATATATATTAGTTAAAACTATATATATAGTTTTAAATAATATATAATAAAACAGGGTTATTCACTTGGAAATTGATTTTTTAATCAAACTACAATAAAAAGTTTAAGTACAGATGTATAAGATTAGTTCTTTAAATGATACATTAAAATCATGGCCAATTATGGTCCCTGACATTAGCAAGAGAAGTTCAAAGAAAGTGCAACCACATGGAAAGGAATCAGTCTCTCATGCATTGGGCACAGCAGGCCTTTCTGGAGGGTAATCTGGCAACATGTGCTACAAACCTCAACCTTATACTGGCCTCCAACTCAACATTCCTCTATTTACAATCTTACGCCAAGTAAGTAACCAATAAAGCATGTGAGAAGATTTGTCTATAAGAATAGTTCATTTCAGAAATTATTTATAATGGCAAGAATGTGTGAACAAACACATGTCAGTGGCAGGGAAGTGGTTTAGTGAGCCTGTAGTGATGGGACACCAGGCAGCCATTACAAGTGAGGCTGTATTTAGTGTCCTAAGAATATATTCATGAGAAAGTGGTGCACAAAACCAGCAGCTTACAAATGAGCATTTTCAAACATGATATGACCACCTAAAAATATATAGGGTGCCTTAAGAGGACCTGAAAGAATCTATCCCAGGATATTAATGAATAATTTAATTTTGTTGAATTTCTTAAGCTTCTGAAGTATTCTTCAGGTAATCTCTATTACTTTGTAATCAGAAAAATCTAAAGTTTTGAGAAAATACTTGGACAGTAAAATGCCTTTATTTCTTGTAATTGCTTACTCCACTTATTTTTAACTGTCCATTTTTAATACAGTGTACTCTTTTGCTTCACCTTATATAGTAAAAGGCATTTAATATCCAAGAAGCTTCTAAATATTTCCATATTGACAGAAGATATAATTGCTGCTTGTGCATGTTTACTAAAAAGGTAGACAGTAACTTAAAAAGCATAACTAGGCCCGTCTTTTCATGCTTCATTCCATAGGAACCTGCTGGATGGCAGGGGGCAGAGGGGAAATCAGATCCCCTTATAAGGGATGATGCAAGGGGAATCCAAGGCAGTGACAGGGACAGAGTAGAGCTGATGTAGGAAAGAGAGGGAGCCAGAATAGGCTTGCCAACTGAGGGCAATGGCAGGGGGAGGGGGCAACTGGGATGACTCCAGAAATAAACTGAAAGCTGTGCCCATGCATCATTCATTACACTCAAGAAACAACACTTTCCTCTTCCTCTGCTTGCCAGGAGTTTGGATTTATCTTGTTGTACTTTGTACTTTTCAACCCACAGTATTTATTGAGAGCTGTTTTGTGCAGAGGACTGTACCAACTGTTATGACAGATATAAAGATGAGTATGATGAGACCCCCAAGCCCTCAGATACTTATAATTTCATCAGGTTGAATAACAGAGCCTCAAACAATAATAGAGATCATATTAAATAGGCTACACGTTTCTTTCTTCTCTTTAATTCTCCCTCAGTGCCTAGCAGAATGGTATTTAAATGTTAAATTCCAGTGTCTTTTGATACCAACTTAATTATTAACTGCACCAAAAACATTCAGTAGTTTCTATGATTTTTAATTTTATTATACCTAGCATTTTTCTGACATGAAGAATATTTGCCTTAATAATTGCCTTATATAATTCAAGATTATATAATTTCACTACTCATTTCATTAATACAAACTTTCCCAATATGTCAAGGTATAAAATACCTCTAGCAATGTTAAACCCAAACCCAACAACATCGAATAAGAAACTTGTCTTACATCCCTTTTACTTGGTTCTTACACCAAAGTTAAATGATATATGTAAATGGACACCACTCCCCACCCAAACACACAATTCAATATCATTTTTCTAAGTATAAAAAATATATATACAATACATATACACCTCCTTTTTTTATACAAAACAGACATTTAGTTATTCATATAATCAATGAATTCATTTGGATCTTTAAATACATGGGCTTCAAATTCCATTTGGCTCTGTAAAATAAAAGTGCTAAAATTAGTACAGACTTACAAAAAAGGAAGAACAAAATAAGATATTTCATATGTCTCCTTTGAAGAGACATGAGATAACAACAATAAGAACTTGTGATGGTCATGCATTTTCTGTTCACTTACAGATGGTGACAGTACAGACTATATTCCAAGTATAATATTTAGTGTGGGGCTAGAAAAAGTTTTAGTAGTGAGGGAAGAGGCTGAAGATGTAGGGTAAAAATAAAGCTTAATGATGGAGTAGTTCTTGAGAAAAATGTAAGGGGCTAGATAGACACAAAAATTTCCATCAGGCATCTCAGATCTATCCTTTCAGCCATCCATCCATCCATCCATTTACTGCACATGGTACCTACCATGTGCTATGCACAGTATATGGGGAAATATGGTAGAAACAAGGCCAACTTCCCATCCTCAGGGAGCTTATTTCTATATGGTGACACACACACACATTTGAGTAGATATAGTCTATGTAATGATAAAAAAAACTATTAAGTAAAAACAAGTAAGATTACAGGATAAAGGAATGATGGAGTAGTTAAGACGGTCAATGGTATTTGAGCATAATGAGGAAATAGCACTTGAATAGAGATTAAATGAGATTACAGTCTGAGGCATGTGAAGGTCTATGGAAAGGATGTGTTAGACAGAAACTATAGTAACTGGAAAAGGAACTAGAAAGGAACAGTGAGGTAGCTGGGAGAGATCCAGGGGTAAGAGAGATTGAGGGAGAATGGGAGAGATGGTTGGAGAGAGAGAGGGGCAACTGTATAAGACTCCAGAATCCATTGAGGGGTTTTGAGCAAGAAAGCAGCATGATAGCATTTGTGTTTTTAAGTATACAGGATACTGTGAAGAATAGTCAGTACAGGGACAACAGTGGAAGCAAGAAGGCTAATGATCTAGGGGTGAATGCTGGCAACTTGATTTAGGTTTGTGGTTATTAGACCTGTGGTAAAGAGGTTATATTCAAGGATATATTTTGAAGGAACAGCTAAAGGTGCTATTGGAGAAAAATTAAGGATGTCTCCTAGGTTTTTGATTGATCAACTGAATGTATGGGGTGTCATTTATTGAGACAGAGAAGATGGGGAGGGGACAATTTGTGGGGAAACCAAGAATTTATTGAGATTATCTATTAGACATGTTGAGTAGACAGCTGGAGATAATAGACTAGAGACTGGGGGAAGGTATATTGTAATATTTATATACCAAATCATTCCACCTGCTTAAAAATTTCCAATGAATTCTCATGCACTCAAGACAAAATCCAAACTCCACTCTCCCTTGGGATTGGCCCTTCTATGCATCTCCGGTATCATCACTCATCACCAGTTTCATACCACACCAAATACTCTTTGAATAGAGATTCATTTCTCACTCTTGCGCACAGCATGCCTTTCCTTTGCTTAGATTATTCATTATCCGTCCCCATTTTGACCTAGCTGACTATTGTGTCCTTGAAACCTAGCCTTTCTTGTCTCACCAGCCATTTACCAGTCATTTGATACATCTGGTTTTGATATGCTCTTCATGCCCACCACAATATTCTATGTAGAAACAATTATTGAAGCTTAATGTAGACCAGAAGCACATATGAAAGGCTTAATCAAAGTGCTCAAGGGTTAATCTTTTTAAGGAATGTCAACAAGAAAATAATTACTCAACATTGTGATAAGAATTATTATGAACTCTAGAACTAAGATACTCCATAATTATTGCTTGAACTTGGACAAGTAGGCTAAACTCTTCAAGCCTCAGTTTCCTTATCTGTAAAATGAGAATAATAATACTAACTACTTCATGGGGTTGATAAGGGAATTAAATGAGCTGATGTGGGCCACAATGCTTATAATAGTGGCTGGCATAGATGAGACCTGTATAAATCATTAACTATTATTATAATAATACTTACCACACTGTTGAGTAATTATTTTCTTGTTGAAGTTCCCCTTAAAAATATTAACCCTTGAGCACTTGGATTAAGCCTTTCCTATGTGCTTCTGGTCCACATTAAGCTTCAATAATTGTTTCTACATAAATGAGTGAGTTAATGAGTAAACAAACAATAGCATTGGGCCACAACAGCACTATAAAATGACCCATCAGGTTCTTCTTTAGTGGGTTTTCTCTATTTAAAAGCTACTCCCTATGGGTGAAGGTTATTTGTTTGATCCATCACTCACCAAACCAAGAAGACTTGGGTTGTTGATCCTACATTATACTTTGGTCAGTTAAGTAAAAAACAATATATTTCTTCCTTTTTAAAGAACCTACCCTAAAATGTGTTTTATTGATTTTATAGAAAGAAAGGGGGAGAGAGAGGGGAGAGAGAGAGAGAGAGAGAGAGAGAGAGAGAGAGAGAGAGAGAGAGAGAGAGAGAGAAACATTGGTTGGTTGCTTCCTTCACATGCTCCAACCAAGGATGGGACCATAATCCAGGTATGTGTCCTGACTGGGAATCAAACCTGCAGACTTTTAGTGCACTGAATGGTGCTCCAACCCCCTGGCCAGTGTAACAATAGCTTCCTTTACCTTTGGATCAGGTAGACATGGTCCGAAAGCTTCCAGTAGAAGAGTTTCTTCTCTCACAGCTTGTTCATAGTCTGAAAAGGACAGTTTCCCATCATGATCATTATCCTAGGAGTGACCAGCCATATATTAGTCAACATGTAAAATACTTAATGCAAATACAACTGTCCTTTCATGGTCAAGTGTTAATGGAAAAAAGATACTAGAAAAATGAGACTAATTAAATTGTAATGAACTATCAATATTATTTTTTTTAAATAGCACAATTCAAGTGTTTGATTTCACCAAGCAGAAAAATGAGTTACTATCATTTGAATTATTATTTTTATCCCACTACTAGCCTTTACATTTTAATATAAAACTCTAAATTATACATATTTACCATTTTCTTAAGTGTTATTTCAACCAAATCTTTGATTCCTTCATCAGGGTCTTCTTCAGATGGCTGTTTAAGAAGGCTGTTCTTCAGCATGTGGAACATTTCCTCCTTTGAAATGAATCCATCGCCATTCAAATCAAACACTTCAAAGCAATCTTTTAAAAAATAGCCAATTAGGAATTTGATATTATCCTTAAGGTAACATTTGCTCTTATAAAGTTTTCAAGACCAAGTTCTATATTGATGTTCTTATCAATGCCATGGGCCTTAACACAATATAATTTCCATAATAAATGCTTAATGTTCACTTGTTGAATATATGCATCAGTCCTTAGAAAAATTTTCATTACAATCAGCTATAGAAAAGCATGACAAGAAACAATATGTTGACATAATACTCTCCAGGTATTATGCTGAGTGAAATAAGCCAGTCAGAAAAAGACAAGTATCACGTGATCTCACTTATATGAGGAATCTAATGAACAAAATGAATTGATGAACAAAATATAATAGATCCAGAGACATAGAAGCATGTAACAGACTGAGGATCCTCAGAGGGAAATGGGAAGAGGGGGGAGGGGATAAGTGATTAACCAAAGAACTTATATACATATTATGGGTATGTGTATAATGCATGGTCACAGATATGATGTGGTGAATGCCTGGAAGGGGGGGATTGAATTATGAAGGGGGTCAAAACAAGGGACATCTGTAATACTTTTAACAATAATATAAATTTAAAAAAATTAAGATAAAAAAGAAGCAATAAGCCGAAGCCGGTTTAGCTCAGTGGTAGAGCATCGGTCTGCAGACTGAAAGGTCCCAGGTTCGATTCCAGTCAAGGGCATGTACACTGGTTGCGGGCACATCCCCGGTAGGGAGTGTGCAGGAGGCAGCTGGTTGATGTTTCTCTCTCATCGATGTTTCTAGCTCTCTATCTCTCTCCCTTCCTCTCTGTAAAAAATCAACAAAATATATATATTTTTTTAAAAAAGAAGCAATAAGTTGAAATTTTTCATCTTGAAACTCTTGGAAAACTGATTGACATTAATTATTTTATTTTTATTTAAAATTTTTAATGTTGACATAATTCTTAAACAAAGTTCACCAAAATTAAGAATTTACTAAGAATCAGAGCACTAAAATCAATATCCCCTACTTTTATGGTTATAATTCAAGTACTTAAATATCAAAAACATAATCTTAAGGCCTATAATGTAAATGTATACATGCATGATTAGCTTCTGTAACATTTGCCTATATAGACTTGCTTGACATGAATTACTCTTCAAAAATCTTGATTTTCCTTTTAATTACTTTTTTTCAACATTTAGCATTGGCTTGAATTTGTTCCATAAAAGAGGCTAATGGGAATTCAAACCAACCAACCAACCTACTTCACTGGTTGGATTAGAAGAAATAAATTTAAAATGTTTTAGATGAGTTAGTCATAATGTGCAAACCAGTAGGATAACCTGAAATCTTACATTTCATTTTTTCTTCCAAAGTTCCTCGAAGAAACAGTGATAATCCGTATACCCACTCTGATACACTTACATTACCATCATTGTCTTTATCAAAACCTCGGAATACTAAAAAGAAAAAGAAGGGCAATATAATACTTGTGCTGCATTTTTAATCTCAGTAATGTATCTACATTGGTACTACATTAAACAAAACTTCAGGATTATATGGTTCAACATTCCCATTTGACAAAGGAAGAAATAACTTTCATATTTTCTCCTCATATTTTGAGGGAACAAAGCAAATTCTGAATATCTAAATATGTTAACTAATTATTAACATGCAACTGTGTTGGTATATTAAATATGTTGCTGTATTAACATGAAATATATAATTTTGAACTTCTGTTACTCAACAAATGTAATGCTTTACTACATGGCAGACCGGACTATATCTTAATTCTTATTGAAATACTTTCAATGATGTAAATAAACTTAAATGTCCTTTTAAAACTATTCTTCTTCTTATATTTACTAAGTAAAAATAGAAATATTTTAGGTTTCCTGTTATAAGGTAAGGAAAACCTAATTATTCAGGCTGACTTTGTCCACTTCTTAAATACACAAAATAGAATGGATACTATTTCCATTCCTATGATACTTAACATTTTTTTAAATTTATTGATATTACATTGTTTAACACAATTATATGGGTGCAAGATATATAATTCTGTAATACATTATCTATATTGTGTGTTCACACCCCTAGTCATGTCTTTTTTCTTCACCATTTATCCCCCCTTTTCTATCTCCTTGCTCCCTCACTCTCATTTGCCTCTCCTATGATCTTTTTCATGAATATGAAGATTTAAATGTTATATTCGAGTGAAATTGGGAATATAGAACATTAACCTTTTTACAAACAGTAAGTACAACTCCATACCTTTTTCAGTTATGGCTGGATTGGTATTTCTCCTTACCTCTGTCCATAATCATGTCATCTGTCATTCCAAATGTCACATGCAAGATGTTTCGAAATGCATTACGATCCAGTCCGTTGACCGTGCCTTGTCGCTCTGTTATATCCCCCACCAAGTTATAGTAAAGTCTTATAAGACAATTCACTTCAAATTTATTAACTGTGGGAAAATAAAGTTAAGATATAACAAAAATGTGTTTTAATCTTTAATTTCTAACTTAAACTTTGCATTAATTAATTTATAGACTAACATTTTAAAGCCATCAAATATGTAGTTGTCAACAATCCTGTAATATTTTTAAATCCTTGTCTGAAGTTATGTTTTTATTAATTTGAGAGAGAAAGAGATAGAGAGAAAGAGAGAGAGAGAGAGAGAGAGAGAGAGAGAGAGAGAGAGAGAGAGAGAGAGAGAGATTGCCTCCCCTACACATCCTGGACCTGGAATCAACGCTGCCAGGGCAGAAGACAGTTCTGTTTTGAGATTCATGATCCTTAAGTTAATAGAAGATGGTTACTACAGAGAATTTTCCACTAAAAGGAGAGAAAAAGCCTTCCTTCCAGTATTAAACAGATGCAAGTTTAGTCACACTTAGGAAAAAAGAAAATAGTATCAGCCAAGTTACCCGAATAATGATCATGAGGTCCAATCTTAAACTTTAAAAGGCAGCAGAGATATGATTCAAAGTAAGTATGGTAATGTTTAATTATGCTAACTTTCCTCGCATTTTGATTATAGGCACTCATGAGACGTGTAATTAAGCATTCTCCTGGAAATAGATACCAGGCTACTGAAAGTCAGGAAACAATTTTTATTTTATATTAGGCTTAGTAATTAAGATTTTGGAAATAAAAATCACTCATTTTCCAATAGAAAAGTGTTTAAGCATATTTTATCATTTTTGTAGTTCTTATTGCAGATGATATGAAGTTAACATGCAATTATTCAGCAGTACTTTGAATGCAGGCAATTTTTATTGAAAGGATACGCACACACGTTCATATTTGTCAACACACATCATTGTATAAAGGGTGGTGTTTTTAAAGACTCAGATAATTATCTGTGTTCCAATCCCCATATCAGATATGTTAAGTGGAAAGGTTATTGTCTAGCATTAAAAACAAAAAAGTGAGTTTAAATATGAATTATAGGCAGAAGATGGGGGTGAGTTTATTTCAAAACAAGACAGAGTATTAAAAAAAAAAAAAAAAAAAAAAACAACCACAAGGACAAAACCTGTGTGCATGTAAAAGAAGACAGAACATAGAAATGGAGAAATCACATCTAATCCCACAGTTGAGGACAGGCCTGCATGTGATTTCTGGTTTGGGATACCAAAATGTAAGAGGGGTATTAAAAACTTTTTAAAGAAATTATTTAGTAAATAAATTAAATAATGGACAAGTGTATAATGCTTATAATTTTTAAAAGAGCTATTAGTTGCAGTAGTGGTATACCAGTTTGTCAAAAAATTAAACACAGAAATTCTGTATAATTCAGTGATTCCACTTCTCGGTATATACCCAGAAAACTGAAAAAAGGGGCTCAAATACTTGTACACCAAGCATGTCAAACTCAAAGGCTCACATGGGCCAAATAAACAAGGTTTAAGTTTATGTGGGCTGCAAAAAAACTAAAGCTTCAATTTTCACAGAAACATAGATTTATTTCTATAGAGACATGCTGAACACAAAGGGCTGAAATAAATAATCATTAACATAAAATAATGGAATATTTTAATAAAAAATAATATTTTTTCTTGAACATTAACTTACCAGACACTGAATAACTGCACAAATTATTAAGCGTAATGCATATAAACCTATTTTTCTTGTTCTCCAAAGCGAAATATTTCCTGTTGCGCACATCAAACAAGTTAGTCCAAGGCTAATGACGTGGCAATCGGCTGCTAAGATATTCACTGCTGGTATTAGTGGAGAGAAATGGTGCACCTGTGTTTCAGGTGCGTAAGGAAAATGAATGCAACACAGTTACAGTAATCAGTCATTAGCGGATGTTGTAGTTCATTATTATAATTATGTATAACAGGATATCGTAAAAATTAAGTTAAGAAATTTTTATTAAAACATTTCTTACATTTTGTTATATTGATTGGGCCGCAATAAATATTCGTTGTGGGCACATGTGGCCCATGGGCTGCAAGTTTGACATGATTATTGTACCTCAATGCTCATAGCAACATTATTCACAGTAGCCAAAAGTGGAAGCAATCAAGTGTCCACTAGGGAATGAATGGTTAAACAAAATGTACCATGTTTCCCCTAAAATAAGACATCCTCTGAAAATAAGACCTACTTACAGGTTTCCTTCTGAGTGAAATATAAGGCATCCCATGAAAATAAGCTCCCCCCCCCCCAGGCTAAACATGAGAGATTTGGTCCACTGATTCTGAAAGAAATGGAGTCACAAGAAATTTACCAGGAAATTCAGGAATTGGATTGTTATGATGATGTTCCAGAAGATGATGATATGATTGTCATTGAACAAATGAGTAAATTCTTGATACTGTAGGATTCAGAGTTTGTCTGGTTTGTGTTGACAACTACTGTACTACTGTACCATATACAGGTAATAAATTTCCTTTGTTTTCTTTTAACAATAAATGTGTACCATATTCTTCTTCATGAAAAAATAAGTCATCCCCTGAAAATAAGACCTAGAGCATCTTTGGGAGCAAAAATTAACATAAGACACTGTCTTATTTTCAGGGAAACAGGATAAATGCATACTAGGGATGATAATTTGGTTTTATAAAGGCAGGAGATTTTGGCACATGCTATCGCACGAATGAAACTTGAAAACATTATGATGAGTGAAATAAGCCAAACAAAAGAGAACAAATACTCTATGATTTACTTATATGATATACCTAGAGTGGTGAAATAGAGACAGAAAGTAAAATGGTAGTTGCCAGGGCTTTTGGGAAGGGGAAAATGGGGAGTTATACTATAATGGATACAGAGTTTCAGTTGGGAAAGATGAAAATGTTCTGGAGATTAATGGTGGTAACAGTTGTGCAACAATTTAAATAAACTTAATACACAGAGCTTATAATTAAAATGCTTAAAATAGTAAAATTTAAACACGATTTAAAAATTTTTTTTAAGTAAAAAGGCTGTTGGCTAGTTGGGAAAGAAAAGACTGCATAAAGAATGACTACACAACATCTCATTTGCTAAGCATTTTATATTTCATCTTTTCCATCTCAGCTAAAATGAAGTTTATAGAATAATTAGCTTAATTTATTACCCAAGGATCCAAAATTAGCCATAAGAAAACTTTCCTTGCTGAAATGTTCCTTAAGTTCTAGAATACAATACTAAATACAATTAAGAAAAATTCAAGGATGGGCTTTTATTGTTTTGGATTGGTTTGATTGTTCTTCAGATCATATCTGTAGAATTGCAGATTAATTATATGACCACTGAAGATACTTTCTTCTTCTCTGATTCCATAAAATTTATCCATTTAATCCTAGTGGGATTATCATCTGCCAACTGAAAGGAAATATAACTTTAGGTGAAAGGTCCTCTGTTCAAAGGAATTTAAAATTATTATAATGTCAATGACCTTATAGAGAATTAGTTAAATTCTCTTTCTATAGAATTTAACTAATAATTATCAAGGTTTTTCAGGCTCACTTTAAAATGTTTATGTAAGTTTAAAAAGCAAAAGAGTTTCTCTTGCCACGTGTTCCTTTATATTTTAATACTCACCTCTTAATTACTCACAGAAAGTCTATTTGCAAATTTACTGAGCACCGAGTACATTAAAATCAGCATTGTATTTTGAAATTATTGCATTTCTTATTCAAAGTGTTTACCAAATGTTTTAGAAGGCCTGGTCTTCTCCCAGAAGTGGAAGTATTTTAAGAAAAACAACAACAGATTATAATAACCATAATAACGCCTCAAATGAGAGGATGGCTATTTTTCTAAGAAGTTTAAGATGCTTATACACACTCTAATTTTCATTTATAGCACCACTCCACTCAGAGAGCCTCTCTTACTACTCATTGCATGAGATACACATGCAATTAACAGACATGAGGTCCTGTAATCTCTCCTAGTAGAACTACATGTTTGTTCCTCCTCAGCCCAGGGGGAGTGGTCTTGGGATGATATCTTCTTCTACTTCCTCAGGTGGCCAGTAGTTATATGTTGCAATCAACATATAATTCATACGCTTGCTCATTTGACAACATTGTCTTCACCCAACCCATGTCTTTATTCTCTTCCTGGCCCAGGTACAGTTCTGTTTTCCAGTCTGAATGCAATTCTAAAGTTACCTATGTGATTCTAGGACCACCTTCTAGAATGTGCAATCGGGAGCAGATACCTTTCATAAGTGCCCATCTTGTCACCTGCAAAGTACCCTGCAACCCTCACCATCCACTGGAACGTGGAAGTCTAGAGCTGGCAACAGATTCATTGCCATGTGTTTAGCTTTGGCGAGCTCCTTGGGCCCACGTTCCTTCTGGCTCTGCCATGGGTTTGTTTCCTAACGGTGTTCAGTGGTTGGGAACCATTTCCCCTTATGGATCTCTCAGTAAGAATCTAGAATCGAACCCTGTCATTTCATTTGCTCTAGAAAGCTAGAATGCAGGTGTATGTTGCTTGTGATACTCTTCGCAACTCCCTTGGTTTTCATACTTTTCACCTATGACTGAGTGTAAAACCACGTGTCTCCTGGGTATATAGATCCCTTTTCTGTAACGTAAAGTTAAATTAAGAAGAGCGCTTGAGAAGCATATTAGTGTACTTGTGGGAGTGCAAGCCTAGATGTCTGGACACCTGGATAGTGATCCTTAAGATGATCGGCAGGCGTGGAAGCCTGCTCCAAAAAGCTAACATCCAAGTATTCTCTTCCAGACTTTTCTCTTGGTGTGGTGGAGGGGGCTCCAAAGCCCGAAGGCATGGAGTTAGAACGCAGGTTGGGCAGAAAATTTGGCTCCGGGTAGGGCAAGAGGCCCGGCCCAGGAGCCTCTGCTAACCCAGCACTGGATCCTTACTTACAGTGCTTGCAGTTTTTCGTTAAGGTGTCCGTCAACTTCTGCAACTTCTTGCGGTTCATGCTGCGGGCTCAGGAAACCGGGCAGAGGCGGGTGCGCAGGGATGCGGCTGTTGGGAACCTCGGTCTGAGCCGGGGGAAAGCGCCCTGGGTCTCCATCACCCCGCACTTGCTGTGCCCTAACACACAAGGTAGCCATGGCAACTCCCTGGCCGGCCGCTGATTGGTTCCCTGGCGAGCGCCCTGCATACACCGCACTAACACACAACGTGGCCATGGCAACGGCTGGGCCTGCTGCTGACTCGCTCCTGGGCTGGGGCGGGGCTGGGGCTGGGTGCGCAGTCCCCCCTTGGAGGGTCCCTCCGGGCACCCACTGCGGGCTGTGTTCTATTGATGTCGGAATTCTAATGTTTCAGTTGTTGCTGTCCTCTGGGCTCACTGCATCTTGGATGGACTGCACTGGGATTCATGGAGGTCTGAAATAGGAAGGAGGAAGAATGTAAAGAGGACATCTGAAGGGTGTTTGGGGTGGTGAGTGTTGTACCAAGGGAAGCTTAAAATCTACAGGGAGTTCTGGGGTTTGGGGAGATTGGAGGAGCTTCCAGAATTAGCAGATGTGTAATCCAGAATATTGTTTTATGGGGTACAGAAAGGTGGGAAGAAGCTGGAATAGGTTTTTTTTTCTTTCTCCACCCCCCCCCCCCCCCACACACACACACTTATTCTTGGGGATGAGGGGTGAGGCTGTCAGTAGAATCTGGGAAATGTCAACTGGCAATTTTTAAGCTAGTTAAAGGGGCAGCTTTTCTAATAAACACACTGACAACTGCCATTTATCTGTGGGCCCAATCTTGCTTTTCTGGCAAATATTCCTTTAAGTAAAACGGAAGGAATTTTTTTTTTTTTTTTTTTTTTTTTACGTATTTAAAAGACAAGTCTACAAACGGAGAATAGTTCTTCCAATCTTTAACGTGGGAAGACTTTCTTAGCCACAGATGGAACACTATCTCTGAATTAGGTCAACAATAAAACGGGCAAGGTCAGCCAGGAGTACAAACCTACAGTATTGTTTAAAGTATCTACTTGCTTAGCCTTAGAGGGGAAATTCCTTGGACTACAACTTATTTTATAGTATACATACTGTCATTCTTAGGCTGAAACCAGAAAATTTCTGCCAACCCTGAGTAACAATCTAATATAAAATAGTTTCGCCTGGCTGGTGTGGCTCTGTGGCTGAACATCGACCCATAAGCCAGGAGGTCACAGTTAATGTGAATCTTCCAGGTCAGACACATGCCTGGATTGTGGGCTCAGTCCTCAGTAGGGGACATGCAGTAGGCACCCAATGGATGTAACTCTCTCATCAATGTTTCTATCATTTTATCCCTCTCTTCCTCTCTCTAAAAAAAAAAAAAAAATCAATTAAAAAAGTTTCAGTTGAGGTCTCTGATTTTTTTCTTTATTTGTTGAATAAAAAATTGGGATGCTGATTGACACCAGAATCAATGATGCTCAGTGAAGGCAGGGCCTATATTATCCTAAAGGAAATTTGCTGAAAACAGTTAACCAATATATAATGACAGTGACTATGAGTTTTCAACAATTTTCTGGTTAAATAATATTTCTATAATATGTCCTCTTACCTAGCAGCTGTGATATTTCTAATGAGATTATAGACACCAACTGGGGAGGACTGGACAAACTCTAATTACACTCACTTGTGAAACCATAGTGGCCTTTGTTAGATTATAAAATTGTAGGAAATATTTAATTCATGGAGGTTATTGTAGGGCTCATTTTAAAAGACATGGAGCCAGAAGAGTGGTTGTCAGTAGTTACAATAAGAGAAGCTGTAGCCTCATATGTTTCTGCTCGTGGGTCTAGTAGGAACCTTCCTCCTACTAGGTTTTCTGAAGGGACCCCTGCTGGCACTTCTTGGGGAGCAGGAATCCTCTGGTGGGGTCACACTGATGGGCCTCTTCAGTGTCTCTGCAGATACACTTGGAGCTTGTTGGAGAACACATATGGATGAACTAGAAAGTTCTTCATTCACAAGCTTCAGGCCTAGGACCCATCAACCATGTTCCCTTGAAGTGGAATAAATGAAGTAAGGACAAAACCACAGAAAGTTGAAAATAAGAATCCAATATACCCTGGCTGGGGTATCTCAGTTGGTTGAGCACTCTCCATGCATCAAAAGGCTGCCAGTTCTATTCCCAGTCAGGTTCAGTTCCACAAACCCACATTACGGTTCCATCCCCCATCAGATGTGTATGGGAGGCAATTGATTGATGTTTCCCTCTCACATCCGCATCAGTGTTTCCCTCTCTCCCTCTCCCTTTCTCTGGCTCTAAATCAATAAAAATATGTATTTTGAAAAATAATCAAATCTGCTCTACCAAGCAAAATTACTTAACCTGCTAATAAAACTTTTGAGGTGTCCTCTTTACATTCTTCCTCCTTCCCATATTCTTTCTTCCATGCTATTCTTTTAGCAGGAAATTTCCAAATGCATTGTTATATAAAACTGACCTCTCTGAGAGAGTGGCCTACAGAATTAAATTTCCTATAAGGTCTTGAAAACCCTTAGGGAAAATATTTATGAAGGGCATGTTTTGTCAACATATCCTTAAACTTTAGAACTTTCCTTACATTTTTGTGAAATTTTTGAACTTAGTATTTGCAGACTTTAGAAACCAGAGGTAGGCCTGATAGACTCAACTAATTGCATTTCAAGGCAAATTGAAATTTCTGTTCTTGAGTTGGCCAGATATAGGATTGCTTTCCCCTCGTTTTTTTTTTTCTTTTTTTCAGAGTAAGGCAATTAAGCAAGAACAGTTATCACATATCAAATCAATTGACAATGGAATAATAAAAAACTGTTTAATTTGTACTGTACACAAATTTTACTGTGCATGAAATGATCATAGAACTTTCCAAAATTCCAGACTTAGAGATGGATACTATTGTAAATAAAAAGTACATAAACGTGACTCTTAATGCTATAAATATTTCTAATTTTGTGTGCAAAACAGTCTTCCCTTTGACTCACAATTAGCTGGAGTTTTGCCATGATAAATAATTTGGACCTTGAATTGATGAAAGTGTTTTATTTAATGTGAACTCTTTATGATAAAGGCATTTGGAAACTGTTTAGGAAATGACATCATAGAATTAACTTCCAAATATATTACAAACCTATTATGAAATTGCTCAAATAAAAGAAAAATATAAAGGTTAGCTATCTATGCAATTTCAGTTTAATTTTACCAATTTTATTTTGTAGAAATAGTGAAGTTACGAGGTGATGTTAGCCAATTATCTGGTGGTTGAATCTCCCCTGCTCTCTCTTACCATTTTCCCTTCTGGCTGCTCTGCTGAAATGATGATCTGCTTTCAGTACCTTCAATCACCCAGCTGTCTCCCCTCAGGCCTTTTGCATAGTCTTTTCCCATCCGCAGAGGAAACTCTTCAAAGGCTTTTGACTCCCCATATGCAGTGAATTCCTCCATACCCTGTGGTCTTTTCCCTGCCTCTGGGCCAGTCTCTTTCTAGAGCTTGCCGCAATGACTGATAGCTGTCTTTCTCTAATCTCTCCTCCCCACTAGATTGTCAACTACATGACACCCCTCTTCTGTGCTCTCACTCTCACTCACATTCTATCTTTCCTGTGTTTATGTCTATGTGTATCTCTGTATCACCTATCTTTCTATACCTTTCAAGTTTGACAACACAGTCCACTTTCTATTGTCTGTATTAAAGGAGAGTGATGGGAGAAATCACCGGAGCAGAGATGACCCTTCCCCCATCCCACACAGCACCCCTTCATGGAGAGCCCTGAGAAATACATACCAGGGCCTTTAAAGGGGCTAAGTACCAAAGAAAAACTTTTCCCAAAATATACTCTCAAAAATGTATTAATACTGGTGTTAACACATTTCTGCATAAGTTTTTTTTAAAACCATAATCAAGAGGTAAGGTAAGTGCCTAAGGCTTACTAAGGATAGGATTCTTATATCTTTTTTGTGTTTGTTTGTTTTTTTAAACCTCACTGGAGGATTTTTTTTTTCATTGATTTTCAGACAGAGTAGAAGGGAGAGAGGAAGGAGAGAGGGGGAAAAAAAACATTGACCTGAGAGAGACACATTGATTGGTTGCTTCCAGCAATTGCCACATAGGGCTGGGGATCAAACCTGAAACCAAAGTACATGCCCTTGTCCTGGAATCAAACCCTAGACCTTTTGGTCCATGGGTTGATGCAGTAACTACTAAGCAAAACTGGCCAGGGAAAGATTCTTATATCTTACAGGTAAATTATAAAGTGTGCAAATTAAGATGTGGATATGAAAAGTAATTAATGTGATGGCAATTATGTCAACGGTTGAGTAAGGAAGCTGCTCCTCCAGGCCTTAGGAGATGACCCAGAAATCCTGTGGAACCCTCTAGTTCCTTCCCACAGAGGGCTGGGCCATGGGCACCCAGCTGCCCTATCTAATCACTACCACAGGGCCAGTAAATGCCTACCTCTTTCCAGGGGAGCCCTGAGCTCCTGGTGGTGTTCTGACACTACTCGTGGCCCTTTGCAGCTGTCACAAACCTCCTACACAGAACCAGGCCAGGCTCATCCTTTCAGACCACGCATGGCACTGCCTAGACCTCTGAAACAATGCCAGCCAGAAAAGGACATGGACCACCCAAATACTTGAGACCAGGCCCCTGTAACCACATTCTTAGCCTCCATTATTCTTGATTTCCAGATAAAAGGAAGCTCCCATAATTACTTTTCTCCAATGATTTTACCCGATTAGGAGACTTATTTCTTAGCCCATATCTGTCTAATCCCTTTCAACTGTACCAAACCAATTTCTTTTCCACTGTGAACATTTACCTTACACGATCCATCTTTGCATAGGGCCCCTCTACATTCTTCTTCTCTGAAACCTGCTTCTCCCCCCAAAATACTGCTTCTTCTATGATATTCCATACCTACACACTCACAGCCAGGAGGAAGTCAAAATTCTTTGACAGTATCATATTAGTTCTGTCTTTTCTTCTCAGCTACC